TATATATATTAAAGCCAATTCTTCCAAAAACTGAACTTGTGAACTTGTTGCACTAGTTTTGATAGAGCATGGAAGTATTGGTTTTGTACTTGATATCAATCTAATCTGTCATTCTATTCTATGTTGACTCTTGAGTCACCCTATCTGCTGCTTTCATTGCCTACAAAACACATAGTAGACTTGCATTATCTACAATAATTCCTTGACCTTGAGCTTTCAAAGAACGAAAATAAAGAAACCTACTTCTGAATAACAACTAAATAAATCATCACTTGTGCTGAAAGGGCCAGAATGATTCCCAACCAAAGTCCCTTTAGCACGTTTGAGAAGCACAAATATCATCAGACACGCCATAATTTAAGTAAAAAAGAATAAATTGCAATGAAAAAGTAAAGTTGAACGAATAATACCGTTCCTCCAAGATGAAAGACAAAAGCTAACACCATACCAGCAGGTATTCCCCACAGGTAATAGGCTCCCAAATAGATAAATTCACCTTTCTTTTGCCACCCACACCCTTTAGAAATACCTGAATTGTGCTTCAGAGAGTTACTAGACTGCATGTCAAGGTTAAAGATATTATGATAGAAAGGTTGCATTATTGGCAATATAACTTTCTGTGAGTGTGTTCAAACCTGAAAATACAGATTGATGTGCATTTAAAAAGTGGGACCCTGCTATAAAGAATAACATCTTCCCTGCATATGTCACTACTTCTTCTTCATTGCTATAGGCAAAGATGCTCGGTATTATGAAGCGTGCATAATTTCCTGCTTCGGCTGCTATTTCTGGATCTTGTCTCAAGATTACAAGAATATGTCCAAATACAGGCAAGAGGTATGCTGACCAAAAGATTAACAAACATTTCCCTTTGCATATGAATACCAAGCATGTGATATTGCTTTCCACCATATGATTGACCACAAGTTGTCTCAAGTGCACTTCCCATTCCCATCTGATCAAGCAAAATAGAATCAAAATGCAGAGAGAAAGAAAGAGATCTTAAAAGAGTATCATATAGCTAAAGAAATAAACTTAGTTAAATTCCTTTGAATCCTTAATTATTAACTAACTAATTACAAAGTAATAGATGTTGTTGATGAAGAAAATTTACAGCGCTACACATATACTTGCTAGAAAATCACATTTTCTTCCTAACAAGTGAATGTCATTGTCGAATATATTATAGCATGTTAACTTAATTTTCATGCTTATATACCTGTATCTGCATGTGTTCCTCATTGTATTGCTAATCAAAAATATTTTCGCTAATTTGGAAGCTCAAATGCACAAGTCCGGCTTAGGATCAAGCCCTTATCAGAGGCGTGCTTACCGACACCTCTCTCTAAGTCTTCGACATCAGTATTTCGGCAGGTCAAGATGGCCAGTACATGTATATCAGTGGCTACATAAGAGTTTTTGTATATATATATATATATATATATATATAGTAGAACAAGTACTTCGATGAGATAATTTATAGTATCATCAACAACAACAACGCCATACCAGTATAATCTTACAAGTAAGGTTTGGGGAGGGTACGTATCTTACTTCATACCTTGTGTGAGGTAGAGAAGTTGTTTCCGATAGAAGATTTACAACATCATTCAAGTAAATACAGATTATTCGAGTAACTCAATTCTTAAGAACAATTTATGAACTTCGGATCATTTGAGCGTTCAACTAAATACCCGAAAACATCCATTAACTAGATGTCATCCTTATAATGAGATAGATGAAGTAAAAGAAAGACTAACCAACAAGCTGAAGCCAGTTACTTAGGCAAAGGAAGTAGCCTACGTAAGACACTCAAGGTCTTCTTTTCTCAATACCGTGTTTGGCCAAGTTTCTGTGAGAATTAATTGAAAAAATATTTTCTCGCATTCCTCATTTCTTGAGTTAGGACACTCAAGGTCTTCTTTCCTTTCCTGAGTATCCATTTTGCCAACTAATTTGAGCGGATAAAACTTTTAAGAGCTTTAGCTAGTTTAAAGCATATTTTGATTGTCAATACTATATTTAAGGGCGATTACCACAAAGAGTGTTACACCCTCGATCATGAAAAATAATTGCTTGTCCAAAGACTTTATAAAAGAAAGACTTTGCATTTTGTCATTTATATATTTTTTAAACTATTGCACTACAATGTGAGCACCTAATTTTTACATTTTATAATTTGTTTTTGTATTTAATATTTTCTAGGCTTATTAGCTATATTTTTTAATAGGATTTATTAGTTAATACGTAATATTTTTAACACAGTCTACTACATAGAAGTCGGAAAAATTTATTTTAAGTACGGCCCAAATCTAATAAAATTACTCCCTACCTTCCCTACACTATTTTTTTGTCTCATCACCCATTCACTACACTATTTTCTTGTCACATCACTCCACCCTATCCTATTCTTTTGTCACATCGCTATATTCCTTTGTCACATCACTATCTTCTTTCACTTTTCCTCCCTTTGGAATACACAAACAAATACAAGAAAGGGATAGATATTGGACACAAGAGGGAGAATTCACTTTTGGACACACAATAGTGCACTATTTTAAGTTCTCCGTTAATCACGTGTGTTTCGGTGGTGGACCATAAGGGCATAATCATTTATTCTTGCACTTCTTTTAACTGGTTTTAGCAATAGAAACAGTAGCTATTTCCGACCTTAGACTAGCCATAAATGTCACGATACTAAATTCACCCTCGTGATGATACTTAGTATTTGAGACTAGGTAAGCCTAATAATTTTTACAGAAATACATAAAATAAAATTAAAGCCAAATTTTCAACATATGAAATAAATATAAAACTGCAGTTCAATAATTTCGACTCCCAAAATTCGGTAGAAATAAGTCACAAGATTCTAAGAATTTATTCTGAGTGTCTCAATACATCAGAGTCAAAAAAGAAATCAGGAAGATAACATAATAAGGATAGAGGGGGACTCCGATATCTGCGGACGCTGGCAGATGTACCTTGAAGTCTCCGTGTACAGCTAGTTCACTGATACCTGATATGATAGGAAGTACCTGGATCTGCACAAAAAAATGTGCAGAAGCGTAGTATGAGTACACCACAGCGGTACCCAGTAAGTGCCAAGCCTAACCTCGGTAGAGTTGTGACGAGGTCAGGTCAAGCCCTACTGAAAATAATAATAAATAAGGCCGAAATTTATAATAGGGTAATGAAGTGACTAAGAAATAAACGAAATTTATAGAAAGATAAACAACACAACAATTAGAGGTAAACAACATGGGCGTTCCCGAGGTACCGCCTTGTAGTCCCAAAAGTAAATCTGCAGTAGAGGGGAATCTCCCGAGGAACCGCCTCGTAGTCCCAAAAGTAAATATGCAGTACAGGGGGATCTTCCGAGGAACCGCCTCGTAGTCCCAAAAGTAAATATGCAGTACATGGGGATCTCCCGAGGAACCGCCTCGTAGTCTCAAAAGTAAATATGCAATAGATATCGGAAGAAAACAACGAATTTACAGCAAGAATCTCACAGTTAAAGATTTAAATCAAATCAAGAAAGCAGGTAATTCAGCTAAGCATGTTGCACATATGGCAAGTAAGAGTTAAGGCACGTAGACATGTAATACTAGGGTAAACATGATCACTACCTATACTAAAGCAGTTCAGTTAAAGAATTTAAAAGAAAACTACTCAGCAAGAACCAATATTTCTAAATTTAGCCCGTGTACACACTCGTTACCTCGCGTACACGGCGCTCACATATCACAAAACATTACAACAATATCAAATCCTAAGGGGATTTCCCCCACACAAGGTTAGACAAGCCACTTACCTCGAACCACGCTAAATCAGTCAAGTAGTATGCCTTCCCCTCAATTTTCCGAATCCGATTGGCTCGAATCTAGTCATAATTAATTTTATTTAGTAAATACAAATTATAGGAATAAATTCCATATAAAAATATAAATTTTCCAACAAAAATCCGATATTTAACTCAAAAATTATCCGTGGGGTCCACATTTCGAAACCCGACAAAAGTTACAAAATATGAACGTCCATTCAACCACGAGTCCAACCATACCAAATTATCAAATTCCGATATCAACTCGACCTCCAAATCTCAAATTCTTATTCAAAAATCCTTAGGCCCAAATTCTCTAATTTCACCTCAAAAACATGTAATCTAGTCGAAATACTCAATGATAATCCAATATTATTGACTATCAATGATCACAAGTGACTTACCTCAAGTTTTTTCGTGAATTCTCTCTGAAAATTGCCCCAAAATCGTGTTGGAAATGTCCAAAACTGATAAAAAAACTCTGAACCCTCTATTTTTGTACACTGCCCAGAGGTTCCGCTTATGCGGTGAATCTCCCGGTTTTGCGACAACCTTCGCTTCTGCGGACAAGGAGTCCGCTTTTGTGGACTCGCTTCTACGGTCCCAAGCACTCCTGCAATCCTTCGTCCGCATCTGCGGTCGCGCAGATGCGAAATTTTTCTCTGCACCTGCGACCACTGCTCTACTCTCCCTTTTCCGCTTCTGCGCTCCCATGCTCACTTCTGCGAGCTCGCACCTGTGAGCTAAATTCTGCAGGTACGATTACATCAGATGACAGAAAGTTTCCAGCTTTGTTCTAAGTCTAAATTTCGATTCGTTAACTATCCGAAACTCACCCGAAGCCCTCGAGACATCAACCAAATACACCAATAAGTCCTAAAACATCATACAAACTTAGTCAAAACCTCAAATCACATCAAACAATGCTAAAACCACGAATCATACCCCAATTCAAGCTTAATGAACTTAAGAATTTTTAACTTCTATATTCGATGCCGAAACCTATCAAATCAAGTGCGATTGACCTAAAATTTTGCACACAAGTCATAATTGACATAACGGACCTATTCAAATTTTCAGAATCGAATTTTGACCCCGAAATCAAAAAGTCAACTTTCCGGTTAAACTTCGAAACTTAAATTTCTATTTTAGCCATTTCAAGCCCAATTTAACTACGGATATCCAAATAATTTTTCGGACACGCTCCTAAGTCCAAAATCATCATACGGAGCTATTGGAACCATAAAAATTCTATTCCGGGGTCATTTATATATAAGCCAATATTCGGTCAACCTTTTCAACTTACGTTTTCATTTTAGAGACTAAGTGTCTCAATTCTTTTCAAAACTCTGTCGGACCCGAACCTATTACCCCGGAAAGTCTCATAACAACTGTAAAGCACAAATTGAGCAGTAAATGGGGGAACAGGGCTGTAATACTCAAAACGACCGGCCGGGTCGTTACATTAAATCACTATTTTTACCACCAAGCTCTAATTTCTTTGTAATATTTTTCTTCTTTTATTGTTTTATAACAACAAGACAATAATTATTAAGTTTTTCTATCCTTTTCCCTTGTCCTACTAAACATGGAAGCAACATACTGCACATTAGGAGAAATTTGTTCAACTTCTTTGTTTATAGTGCCTTGTATATTTTAAAAGTCTAAGTAGAACATGTGCAGTGTAGGAATTTTTAAAAATTGAGAGAATTGTTTTTTGTTTTTGGGATAAGGAGAGGAAAAACACTTTTATTTTAAAAAAAATAAAGTATTTCATGGAAATCATTTTGAGACAAATCTTTAATGAAAGAACGAGATGGCGTAACCCGGTGGTATCAGTGAAAGTTTTTCATTGAACATGTGTAAGTTCAATTCTCATTTCTCATTATTTCTATCACGACCCGAAATTCCCACCTTCGAAACCGTGATGGCGCCTAACATTTCACTTGCTAGGCAAGCCAACGTTATAATAATATTAGATATTTTAAAATAATTTTAAATTAATTAATAACAAAGAAACAAATACGGAAATAAAGTCTGAAATAAAGTGAATAATCCATAATAATAGCGATGTCTAAAATACCATCCCAGAACTGGTGTCACAAGTGCACGAGCTACTAGAATAATACAAATAAAGGTTTGAATGAAAATGAAGCTGTCTGAAAGAAATACACAGCTACAATAAAGTGGAAGGGGACTTCAGAACTACGAACGCCATGCAGTTATACCTCAAGTCTCATGTGAATAGCTGAATTCGAGCAAATATACTGTACACCACTGGGACCAACTCCGGTATCTGCACAAGAAGTGCAGAGTATAGTATGAGTACAACTGATACCCAAGCGCCATAATCTGTCATGCTAATTTGTTAATTCTGGAAACTTAATTTATGTTATTCTATTCTCTCACAGATGGTGAGGACACGTAATACCGGATTGGACGGTCAGTCACCAGCGCCACCAGTTAGGGCCGCGAGAGGCCGGGGTCGAGGTAGAGGTCGAGGTGTAGCTCGTACCACAGTTGGACCAGCACCTGTAGTACCACCAGTTGCTCCAGCTTAGGAGCAAATTCCGGATATAGCTGAGCCGACAGGATCCGCTCAGGCACCAGCTGTGCCCATTGAGATTCCAGGCCTTCAGGAGACTTTGGCCCAGATATTGGCAGCTTGCACTGGTCTTGCTCAGGTGGTTTCGGCTTAGGCCGCACCTGCCACTTCTCAGTCCAGGGGAGGTACTCATACCCCTGTTGCACGTACTCCAGACTAGGTAGTACAGGGACTTCAGATACCGGGGGCACTACCAGCTCAACCGGTTGCAGCTGCTCAGGCCCCGGTAGTTCCTGTTATGGCAGATGATGAGCATAGGAGACTTGAGAGATTTGAGAGGCTTTGACCTCCACCTTTTAGCAGTGCTGAGTCAGAGGATGCCCAGGGTTTTCTGGATAAGTGTCAGCGGATGCTTCGGACAACGAGTATTCTAGAGATCAGTGGGGTCTCATTCACTACTTTTCAGTTTTCTGGGGCTGCCTTCAGATGGTGGGAGTCTTACGAGAGGTGTAGGCCGGTCGGTGCAACACCCCTTACCTGACAGCAGTTCTCCGATCTATTCCTAGAGAAGTTCGTGCCTCAGTCCCGCAGAGAGGAGCTGCGCAGG